TTACCTTTAAAAAAGTAAATCGGGGCCCTTTTAGGCTCGAAAATAAAAGGGCCAAAGGGCCAGGGCTGGCCCTTTTAGGCACTTTTATTATTTTTTTAAAAATTATAATATAAAAAAATAAAGATTAAATACATAACTCAAAGAAATGAATATATTAAATGCATTCATCCATCTCTCATTTATTTATTAAGATTTAGTTGATAATGTTAGCTAAGTTTAATTTTTTGGTATTCACTTTAATGTTGCTCTTTGATATTAGACCTAAATATTTTAGTTTTTTTTATTGTTGTGGTGTAAATTAATTTAAATTTATTTTCTTAAACTTAATTTTATGAATAATAACTTTTTTATGATTATAAATATATTTTTTATAATTTTTAATTGAAAAAATAATTTTAAAAAAATAGGGTCTAGGCCCTGAGGGCCGGCCCTTTAGCCCTAAGGGCTGGGGTCGGGCCTTATAAAATGAAACGTTAACATGCAATCGGGCTTATTAGGGCCAGCCCGTTTAGGCCCTGGCCCTTCAAGGGCCGGCCCTTTAGGGCCGGGTTAGCCCTAATTGACAGCTCTAACTATACCAACATTGGGCTCATGGCCTACCCTTGGTTGGGTGAGGGTATTATAAACACCCTCATCCATGTTGCTTCAGCGAGGATGCATGCTTCGGTGCCTGGCGACAAGGGCAGGTTCGCGAGAGAGAGAGCGTGAGTGACCGTTCCAGGCGAGGGAATTTTTAAAGTCATAGTAATTTCAAGAGTGGATTGAGATTTTATAACACTGTGTTAGGAGTTTCCTTAAGGATTCGTTAATTTTACTTTGACATTTGAATTAGTTGAAGGATTTGAGAGACCTCCGGTTCTTTGAATAAATTCGAGCTTAGATAACTTCTTTTTAAGTTACCTTGTATGCTAGTATGGATAAATAACTAAACCTTTTTGTATACTAATATCGAATTGAACCTAAATAGCATGTCTATAATAATGTTATGTGAAAACTCAGCCTAATGGTTAATAAAGTAAATTTTTGGAAACTTTTATCTGAAACTATGGTTAGTGGAAAGCCCTTGAAAATTTTATAATTACTTGTTTGAAATTTTTAGGACCGGATAGACTTGCATTAATCATAATTTGATTGGTTAGAGTTGGTTGAGTTGTTTGAATTGATATAATATATGAAATTTAATAGTGTCTATTGAATGATAAATGTTGTAAATTTTCAGACATACTTATTGTGAAAATTGTAAGTTGATCTAGAATAAATAAATGATAAAAATATAACTATTGTTAAAAATAATTTTTGAGATATTATTTGGCTTGCTTTATGAAATCAATATAATTGTTATCTGAATATTAAGTGTTATGATATATATTTCCATGAGATATGTGTGTGTGTGTGTGTGTGTGTGATGCTTTCTTGAATTATGATTATGTGTGTTTCTAGCATGCTTTTGTGTGTGTGTGTGTGTGTGTGTCTGTCTGTCTGTCTGTGTGTCTGTGTGTCTGTCTGTGTGTGTTGCTTTCTTGAATTATGATTACGTGTGTTTCTAGCATGCTTGTTATGCTTGTTTGAGATACAATGCATGTGTGTGTGGGGTGTTATTTCTTTCCAAGCATGCTAGCTTTTTTGAATTATAATTTAAACTTTTCTAACATGTTTATTTGTGCCTTCTTGAATTATAATTTAAACATTTCTAGCATGCTTGTTGTGCTTGTTTTCAAGACATAATGCTTTTGTGCGTGCATGCATGTGTTTCTTTCCAACCATGCTAGCTTTCTTGAATTATGATTTAAACTTTTCTAGCATACTTTTGTGCGCGCGCGCGCACCTTATAGGAATAGTTACTTTTATTTGAGTGTTTATTTAATACATTTGCTTTTGTTTTACTTTGGAATATATAAGTTTGGAAAAAAAAAACTTTTAGCCTTTTCTACTATAATAGCTTGTAATGCTGTTTTCAAACCTTTTTTCTATGATAGTAGGTACTCATGTTAATTATATTAAGATGAATATTTTTATAACTATGGTAGCTCTCTAAACTTCAATTTAAATTCTTTTCTACTATGATTACCTTTTAAAAATATATTTAAAAATTACTTTTAAACTTGTATACCATGGTAATTATTTTCATTGGTTTAAATCTTTTTATTACCCTGATATTTGGTTAATTTTTTTTTTGTTAGAAAAGGCTAATCCAACATATTAAATATGAAAATTTATTTTTTTAAAATATATTAATTAACATGGTAGATATTTTTAATTTTCATTATATATTAATTAGGAAGTCCAACAATCAAAAGAATCTCTAAGTTTCTATCTCCAACTGATTTGAGATAACTTGAAACAATTGGCTTTGATGATTATTGATATGAATGACTTTACCGATGAAATATAAGTAAGCATAAAAATTGTAGGGAAGTCTATTACTTATAGAATTGTGAGAAATGATATCAATGATCTCATTATTTTAGAGTAATTAGACTTATCAATAATTTAAGTTTTTATCATATAAATGTTTGTTTTTATTTCTAATTTAATATTGAATACTTTTTATATTATTGCTAACATATTTGTTATCATCAAAGGTACCTCTACAATATGTGTACCCAACTCAATGTGAATCATAATTATGGATTATTGTCTCCACTTTTAACTACATGTGGCAAAATGAATCTAAAAACATCTTATATTGAAAGGTCAATGCATGGGTTAAACAAGAGGTGTTGGTTTTCATCCATTATTGAAAAATATTAAATTTCTAATTAATCTCTTAACTTATAAAAAATTTGCTTAATGATATGATATTAATATAAACTAATATGGTGTAGAAATTATTGGATACTTCCTGTTATTTACCTATATATATTAGTTCTATTTGTTACAATGGAAAGTAAGTGGTGATATGAAGTCATTGTTTGAATTATAATTTTTTAAATAACTCTATTTTTGTGAAAATTATTAACATATATTTAATATTTTTTTAAGTGTACATATTTGACAAATAGATCTTTAATGATGTATTGGAGGTTAGAAGAGAACTGAAATCAAATGGGTGCATATGCAAGTAAGCATTTCAAATTTATTTTTTCTAATTAAAATAAAGATTATATTATTAGTTTTATGAATTTAATTATTCTTATTTTCTTAATAATGTGCTCAATAATCATGAAGTGTAGAATATGGCTATTATACGATTCTTTTTATATAAGAAATCATCACTAAAGGTATTATCCACTCATTTCAAAAAGTAATAATTTGTTTATAGTAATTTATATTTTGGAGCTCTCCCTATGCTTGAATTATTATTCATGCACATATTTTTAATAAATTTGTAGTATTTCAACAGTTTAGAGCCATATTTTGAGAAAAAGTTGAGACACACATGCAATATTTTGTCTAGTTCCTTCCTAGAATTAACAAGATTTGACTAGAGCTTAGATAGATATTTATATTGAAAATGTAGATGTTCAGTTGATATGTCCATACTGAATATATTTGTATTGATCTCTGGAGCTACTGTTTATATAAATGCATGTTTTATAAGTAAGGGATGTAAAACATGCAAAATGTGAGTTTTTTTAAATAAAAACATAGCAATTACCACAACAATTATGATAAATAACTGTTAGCAAAATAACTATTTATGATAACAGTTGTGGCTATAACTGTCGCCGTAAATGGTGACTATTACCAATTATGGCGACAATTCAAAGAGTATCAATTACAGTGACAATTTTGAGCTTGAATTATAGCCATAATTGATTTAATTTTTGTGACATTTTAGTTACAAACTGTTGGAAAAATTCTTTTATTACAATTATACTTATTTCTATCACACTTCGTCTTATGGTATGAAAATAACTTTTTAACTATAATGAAAATTACATTTTGCATTAGTAGTTATGTTATAGAAGTTGATTGAGTTAGGCATATATCCAACCATTGTTTTTCAGGCAGCTGCTCCAAAGATACACAATCTTAATCACTCAAGAAGGATTTTTTATGATCTTTAAATTAATTCCTTTCACTATGAATGCCATACGGTCTACTAAATGTCATTATAATCTACTTTATACCATTGCTGGCCCCTTTAATAAAATTGGAGACTTGATAGGTGGTAGTTCCATGATTATGCCACACCATAATAGATTTGTTTAATGTTCATTCTCTACTTATTTGTCTCGTGATTACCTTTCACTCAACCTTTTTGAATGGCAGTTATAAAGCATGGTTAACAATGGACTTGCGATTCAATATTTCAACTACCTACTAGCCGCTTGGGTATCTTGGCACTTCTTTGCTTACTGTGGTACCTACTACGTTGGTGCTTTTAATGCATTTATGCTCAATCATTGTTATTCTCTACTATTCATGCTTTTTTGACCTTGAGGATAAGGTTAGTTTTGGGGGGAAAGGAAATGAAATGTCATGAAAGAGGGCTTTTTTGGAATAAAAGAGGTATGGGCTGGGAGTGCAGTAAATGGTCGAGCTCAAAAGGATGTGAAAGGATCTCACTGTCTTAGCGTCTCTCTTCTTCCCTCTGGCCATAATCTATTGATTATGGAGTTTTTCTTCTCTTACCTTCTATGACTTATTTCCTTCTTGTCTGGTATCTCTGTGCCTGCTCTATCCTTTTTATGTTTTCTTATTTCTATTACACCAAAACAAACCGAATCAAATCGATTGACTAGAAATATTGACACACAACAATGATTTTTAAATTTGGAAGTAGGAAATGTAGAAGTACATGTTTAATATTTTTGAAAGTATAAATTTTCCAAATAATTGAATTGTCATATTATAATATTAGGTTATAAATAATTAAACCGGAATGATGAAATTTCCATAACTTGGCTGCTAAATCATGGAAATGTGAGAAGCACATGCTTAATATATAATGTAGATTATCATAATATGAACAAAAGCAATTCAAATCAAACCAAACGCAGAGAAACCAAATTCAAACTAGCCACATGATAAAACCAAACAACTAATATTCGCACTTAGCACATGACGATATAATTAAGCACAAAAAAATTATAGCAGTAATATAATACTAATAGTATGATCCTAAAAGCCATCAACAAAGCACGGACAGTGTTTGTAGTAGTGAAGACGAAGACCGCGAATCCTACAATAGTCGAACTTGTTCTCCAAAGATCACGAAAATATGTAAACTTGAGGTGCTTCCATGCACTATCGCAATATTCTCTGACTGCTCTAATGATTTCGTTGTAAGTGCTTGAGTTTATGACCCATCCTTTGTTTAGCTTCTTGATCAAAGTGACCACTTCCTCATTTGTGTCCAGTGTATGGACCAAAACATATTTGTCAACAAGCAAAGCCACATCTTCTGGAGTGTCAATGAGATCTCTAAGCAAACGAACATAGGCGCTAAAGTGATGCTGAGTCGGATTGTAGTGATGTTGTTCGAAAGCAATGATGTTTCGGAAAATAACTTCTGCTAAGTCGTCTATGATTATTTTCGGGAAATCCAAACATGGTTGACAAGACCGAGCCTTGAATCTGATGTCCATCAAGCTTCTGTCATTGACTTGTTTAAAGTTTATCCCTGCCTTCTTCAATTTCGTTGCGCTCTTTAGACTATGGATTTGTTGACCACTCTTGTTGTTTGAACTAGATTCATGTGGAAAATAAAGAAAATAAGCTGGAAGGTAAAGGTATCTGATGAGATCCGTGAAGTGTTTGATGGAATTATGGCGTACTGCGCGTTCTTGTTCCCTTTGGTTCCCTAAACATATTGGCAGATTGCTGAAGTAGTCAAGGCAGAGGTTTCGAAACGTTGGATGCTCTTGATCGTTTGGTTTGGGTGTACCATCATGACAGATAAATCTTTGATATAGCTCCTCTAAGACGAAAAGCGGAAGTTGATTTTCAGCAAGTAACAAGTCTCGCTGGATGTTATGAGAAAAAGAAGGTGTATTTAATGGATAATCATCTCCTTTGGGACTTGCTGCTGGTGATGAGTTCCTCAGAAAGTGCTCCAATATAAAGACAGCATCCTCCAATATGATTTCACAAATTTCTAGTTTGTGCGCCAAAGACTGGAATGTGGATACTGATTGAAAATCATTTCAGAATTACTCTCAATGAAATCTTTAAAGTTATGTTGCAATGCTTCCATGTTCCGCACACGACTGAAGAAGTATTTGTTGTATTTAACTTTTTGCTTCTTTATTTCCCTACAAGAAGCATGGTCATAGTGAATAGGACCAATGGATACTAACAAAGGAGTATAAGCTTCTTGATTGAGCATCCGAAGAATCTCAGGAATCTTGCCGCAACACTCTCTTGACAATGAATCTGGTGGGATGTGAATCGAGATCTCTCGCTGCATTAATGGTGTAGATGAATTCATGTCCTAATAATGTAAACAATAATTAATCAATCAATTCAATAGCAACCTTCAATTCTCAAAATATACTGACTTTGCATATTGCAATCCATTTAATGCAATTACTTCTAACCAACTGTTACTTATTATAAGATATTTCTGAACACCTCACCAAAATTAAGGAAAGGTTATTAAGTTATTAATTTTATTTAGAAATTAAATAAATTTCAAATTTTACCAATGAAAACTTTTAAATTTGCATTACATTTTTTTTTACAGTTAATGAGTTGAAAGTTTGGATTAACAGTAACTTTTACAAAATGTTTTCCATTATCATTAGGAGGGAGTAAATACTCTTCTGATCCATACTACAGCTATATAAATGACAATTGAATCTCTCTAAATGCAATAATTCCTCCCAAATCCCTAGTATCTTTCTAGCATTAATGATTTTAAATTAAATAATTAAATTACCCTTGTTTAAAAAATTTTACATAGGAAGTTGTGATTTTTTTTGTTTAATATTTACAACTCAAAATAAAAGTTGTGATGTGACTGGTGATTTTTATAACTTGAATTTTAATGATAAAAAAAATTTCACTTGAGAAGTTGTGATTTTTTGTTTAATATTTGTGAATAAAATTTGTAATTGCTAAACAAAAATTGTAACTAGTTACTTTCAAAACTTGAATCTTAATGATTGAAGAAATTTCATATGAGAATCATGATTTTTTGTTCAATTTTTGATATTTATAAAATAAAAATTGTAATTAATTAAACAAAAGTTATAATTAGGACTGGTTATTTTAAAAAAAAAGACAATTTAATTATTTAACCTAAAATCATTACTATCAAAAAGGTATTCAAAAACTTAAAACAAATTATAGCATTTTAACAAACCTAATTGTCATTTATATATTTCAGTGAGATGTTATTATCATTTTTGCTTAAAAATATTTTGAAAACAGGAAATCAAACAGTTCCTAAAATTCTCTTCCCTCATATTTTCTTTATTAAATCAAACAGCTAGAACTTATTCCCTAGGATCCTAAGACATTTTAATTTTTAACACATCACCAAAAGCAATTAAATCGTTGAAATTATTTAAGAATAAAATGATTTTTCTAATTTATCCCTATTTAAAATTATGAATTTAAAAAAGATTTAAAATAACTGTAAATAGAAATTAAAAAAAAGCCAATTAATACTCCGTTTTTTTATGACAAATATATCTCTTGTTCTTCATTACAAGACACTTTTGGTTTATTTTTTAAATTTTTGAAGTTCTCTTTTTTATCATTTTTTATCAACTAACTAATAAAAATAATTTTTATTAATGACAAGTGTTAGATTACATTACTTTTAAAAGTTAGGAAAATAATTTATACAATAAAAAATTTCAGGGTTTATAGAATTATTGGACAAATTTATAAAATAATTTACTCATTTATCCTTAATAAAAAAATAACCAATAAATATTGATTTAATTAGTAAAGATTTAACTTATAATTCTTAAAATAAAGGAATCAGATTCTGCTATCATTATAACAACATTATTCATAGATAATTTGTAGATTTCTATAAACACTTTTTGAATTTAGAAACATGCTCACCTTTTAAGTTTTAAAACGTAAGCAAACAAACAAACGTGAAATGATGAAATACGAACCTGATGCGACGCCGTTTCAATTGAACAGTCGCCTTCGCTTTCGATCTGAGCATCCGCCATTTTCGAGTTCCCACCCAAAAATCGCCTTTGCTTTCGATCGCCGCGCTGTTCGCTTCCCCGCGACGGTGCTGCCCCATTACTTATCTCTCTCTATATATAATATTCCAGATCATTCTTAATTTATAAATATTTTAATAAAAACTACATTATCATGTGCTCTTTTATAATTTATTTTTTAATTTCTTACATGGGTAAGCGCGGACATTTCTTGAATTGATCAACTGGCCATGTGGGACGTGGGTGTCACTCGCCAAAAGAAAATGCTCGCTCTCCATGTTACATTTTATAAAATGTAATCCCTTAAAACAAAAATGTAAAACATTTTTTAAGAATTTAAATATTAAAAAAATATAAAATATTTATAGTATTTTAAAGTATAATTAATATGCTTTTTATTAGAAGTGCTTCTAATAAATAAGTTATTTTTTTATTTAGTTTAAAGCAAGACACTTTATTAAATAGAGGTAAATATAAAAATATGGTGTTATTTGAGAAACAACAAACTACTTTTTTAGAGGAGTGTGATTTTATTAAAAATATTTTATATTTTTAAATGGAGGGAGTGTTAAATATAATTGTGAATCTTATTTGCTAAAAACATATAAACTTTTAAATATATCTTTCATTTAATAAGGGAGGAAAAAATATTTAAAGACTCAAGTGATGAGAAGTAATCTTGGAATAAGTTCGTCAATGAAAAATTATTTTTTAAAATATCTTATATTATAAAATATCAAATTACTATAAAAAAAATATCTTATATAATGGTAAGCATTGTTGATCACGACAATCTAAACTATACTTTTTTTAAGAGGGAAAAAAAACCTTGAATCTATATTGGAACGGATCTCTTTTCATAATTGTCCTGTCTAAAATTACAAATCAAGAGGAGGGCATTTTTAAGTTTCACAATTAATATATTAATAATAACAATTAATAATGTATCCTAAAAAAAATAAAAAATATTGATTTTTCCCAATAATTTAAAAACATTGATAACCTGTTATATATATATATATATATATTTTATTATTTATTAAGAAGATATATCAATCCTAAGTAATACTACAATTTCCAAAAAAAAAATCTTGAATGCCACTTCGTTCAAGAGCCAACAACAATCTCCTATCAATCAGAAAGCTTCATGGGTAGGCCTCTTAATAAAAGTGTGTTATGAGCATAAATTTAAAAAAAAAACATATTAAAAAAAACTAGCATATTAAATTAAAAAAAATTTTAAACTTATAAACCTCACTTCCTCATCAATGTGAAACTCATCACACAAAAACATAGTCATATTAGTACACGTTTTTAATCATTTCTCACTCACAAATGTGAACACTTCTTAGGCGTGAATCTTTGAATGACTGTCAAAATCTCAAGAAAATATTTTCCCCCTTCATTTCGACCTCTATCTCTAAAGTCAAAAGGTGGGAAAACAAAAATCTTGAAAAGCTTGTGATTATGATCACCTCGATGTTCTTATTTTATGTTGTGTCTATTTTTATAAAATTATCTTACATAATTTCTCACACTCCTGGCAACTGGCCCGGGTCGTCTTTTTATAAGTGCATTATTGTCTTGGACTTTTCTACAAATTGTATTTTTTATTAATAGTGAGATGTCGATGATAAATTGATAATAGTAGAAGTCTGAAAGGCACGTTCACGCCTTCACACGGCCAGTCAATGGTTTCTTATTCTTTCTTTTATAATAAAAAGTTTAAGTGGAAGTTAAGTGGGTCCCAGGTCTCATAAGGAGCTGGACATGCCTGTAAATTAAAAAAAATATTTATAGATCATCCATTAATAATATTTTTAAAATAGTACAAATATATAGATTTCATGTAAAAATTAATTTTCAGCTTTTAGCTTTTTATTGAGTCCGTGCAAAAATTAACAGATGACTTTTAGGTCTCCTTTGATTATTAAAAAAAAAAGGGATGAATGGATTGAAAAAAATAAAAATAAGATATAATTAAAATGTGTTGAGAGATAAATGAATCATATTCATAACGGAGAATGATAATGTAATTTATGAAGTCGGGAGTCATAATTTATGAAATTTTTTAAGATGTGATGATTTTCACATTTATAATATATAATATTGAGTTTTATTATACTTATCATAAAAAAAAGTAATTCAGTTTATTTTTATTTTAATTTTTTTAATTTATTTTATTAACCAAATGGGGCCTTAAGGAATTACTCCCTGACTTTTATTATATTCATACATTTTTATATGAGTTAAGAAAAGCTGTTACATGGTTTTTATTTGTCCAAAAACATTCAATTATTGATCTAATTATAACCCTATTTATCTTCGCTCTTTGAAGAAAAGACCACAAAACCTGGGTTGGTCCTGTCACGAGACCAATATTAAAACTCTATGATGAGCGTAAAAAAGAAAATCTAATATTTTAATAGAATACTATAAACTTGATTAACTTTATCATCTATCAGCATAAGAATTACAATTTTTATTAAAATGATGGAGTGTTAGGACCTGGCTCCATCGATGATATCCGTCTTCACAACTTTTCTGAATGAATTGAATAACTTCAACACAGTCATTGTAAATATCCACATTCCTAAAATTATTAAATTGATTTTGGTTGAAAATTGTTTATGTGAAAAATCCCCATTAACAGTTATTTATTTATTTATTAAAAAATGATATATTAAAAGTATTTTCTCTAAACCACAATATAAAGTATTAGTAACTAATTCAATATTTTTAAAAAACGTAAGTTGAAATCTAAAATTCTTAAAAAAATTCACATTTTTAATTATACCTTCATTAAATGTTCTATATAACTGTACTTTTAATAATAATTAAAATTTAAATGCATCATTTTCTTAAAAAGATCAGAGTAATAATTGAAGTAGAGATATAATTGCAAAATCAATTGTAAAAGTTACTCAACGCCTTATATTTTGGATCAAGTAAAATTTTTAAAAATATTCTATATTGTGGCTTGGAGGAAGTAACTTTTTACAAAATAAATTAATTATGTAATCTATATAATTTTGACACAATTTTAACTCACTTATTATTATTTTATATTTTCAGTCTATTTTTATAAAGTTATCTTACATAATTTCTTACACACCTCCCAACTGGCCTGGGTCGTCTTTTTATAAGTGCATTATTGTCTTGGACTTTTCTACAAATTGTATTTTTTTATTAATGGTGATACGGGAGATGTCGATGATAATGGTAAGGACTCGGTTTCGGTGGATGAGCACCACTGTGCTAAACGTCAATGCTACATCGTTTCATGGTGCCCCCACCCCCTTCCTTTTCAAAAACCAGTTATTATAAAAAATAAATAAATATTATGATACTATATTAAATAAATAAATTTAAATTGTTGAAGTTTGAGTTCAACAGTTCAAATATAGAACTTGACTTGAATAGTTTAGAAATATACTGAAAAAATTAGAACTGTAATTAAAATAATAATAAATAAATATTTACTAAATGTAGGTGTTCGTCTACAAACAACAAGCTATCAAGTGTGTTAGAGATGTTGAGTCTCTAATTGATAATAAAAGAATCTCCAGGGTCACTTACCATAATTTACCCTGATGTAAAGATATACACAAGACTTGGTGGAACAAGGGTTTTGATTATTATTGAAGTGTAAAATGATTACAAATCTAAACTGAAGAAATAAAGGTAATTGATAAACCTAAGAATTATAGATGCAGAATGCAAGTCTTTGGAGTGTTAACTATTGTCTTCTTCTATGCTTTGGTAGTCTATTTATAGTGATAAAGTGATGGCAACTTCTCCTTTAGAATTTAGAATATTGTTTTGAAGAATCGGGGATTTCGTGAGACTCATGGCATGATCTTCACTCATTGTCTTTCATTTTTGGTAGCCAGCCTGTCTTGCCTAAATATTTGAGCACGATGATATTGTTCTCACAAGATCTGAGATCATTTGAGATCGTGTTTTTTATGTACCAATGATCCACCGAGTGGGTTTGCAACTAGTGAAATTTCAACATGCTATCTAGCTATGGCTTTTCATTGAGCTCGGAGTTGGACTCTTTATCTAGATGATTAATTAGGCTTGACTCTTCAGTCACTTAGCCCATTTGACTTTATGACCTACCTAATGTTTTGATAAGTGACTTTTTATAATTAGCTCAAACAGTAGAAAACTCTTTTAACAGGAATTTGAACCTTATTTGCTACGTTAGGAGCAGCTAGTTCATTCTATTAGACTTAATTCTTGTTCTAAACTACTCAAGTACTTTTTTTCTAGCTTTCCAGCATAGTTTTAAACTGTTAAGGTCAAATTCTATATCTGAATTGTTGAAACAAATTAAATTTATTTATTTAATATAATAAAAATAATTTTATAATATTTATTTATTATTACAATAATTTTGTGATTTTAGAAGAAAAAAGAGAAAAAAAAAATCTTTCCATAAACGGATGCAGTTTAGCCGCCGAGCACGGCGGTGCTCATCCTAGAATGAGAACCGAAATCGAATCCTAATGATTGAAGTCCGAAAGGCACATTCACGTCTTTCAAACGGTCTGTCAATGGTTTCCTTGTTTTTTTTTTTTAATATAAAATAAAGTTTGGGTGGGATTGGATTAGCGTAAGCAGTTAACTTGCTGCTCCTTTTGTTATGAAAAAAACGTTGGGTGGAAGTGGGTCCCGAGACTCATCAGGAGCTGGACATGCCTGTAGATTAAAAAGAAATGCTTCTATAAATATTTATAAATCATCTATCAATAATATTTTTAAAAATAATATAACTATATAAAATCCATGCAGAAATTAATTTTTAATTTTTAGCTTTTTATCGAAGTCGATAATCTACCTCAAGAGGCCATGCTTAATGATAATTTTTAGGTCTCATTTGATTATTAGAAAGGAATAGAATGAATGGATTGAAAAAAAAATATAAAAATAAGATAATTAAAATGTGTTGAGGGATAGGTGAATCTTAAGGGAGAATGATAATTTAATTCATGAAG